AGGGGAAAGGCAGACAAGACGCTGTCATCCGTGGTTTCTGAGAGGGTAGAAAGATGTGAAAGGTTCTCAGATTGCTAGGTTGATACCAGACAGTAATTATGAGTGTGGGCACTTTGCTGTCACGTCTTCGTTTATTAATTAATACTTTTATATCCACTGGATATCCCTACTTGCAACTGTCACACATCTTCTGAGGAATTGGAGAACATGCAGAGAAGGATTATATAATTAATCCACTGTATAAGGAATTGTACATACGATGATAGAGCTCTGTAAACCTATTCTCCAGAGATGTAGTATGAGGAGAGATATAATAGAAACATACAAATAGAGGACAAGTTTAAACGAAGACGATGTAAGTAAAGGTGCTAAGACTAACCAAGTTGGCCAAATCCACTTTTAGAAAATATATAAAGTACAGGTGCAGTATTAGTTGTAAAAGGGTGGAACAATCGAAGACATTGAAGCTACAACTTTGGGTGGCTTTGTTCTAAATAGGTATCGTCTGTGGAAGGGAAGGCATAGTTCCGTTTTCCCGGGATCAAGAGCTCTTTAGCCTCCATAAGGGGACTTGTTTCTAAAGATAAGTTTCATCAAACTTTATTCTCCATAAGTATTACAATGCTGAGTTGACAGAATTTGGTTATTGTGTGGTTTACATGTAGTAAAATAATAATTACAGAGTGTACCACTAGAACGCCTAGCATGGCTAGGCATTTCGGGCAGATTTATATTAAATCTTAGGTTTAAAATGTTACAAAATTATGAGATAAGTTGGTATTATGGCTAAGTGACTAAATACTAGTTGTGAGTTTAGCAATGTGAATGCTTTTGTTTTGGCACTATACATAGTTTCAGTATTGGAGTATCACAGGCCAACTTATGACTAGTTAAGATTCATTATTTTGAGATTGAGATTGATATTTCTGTTTATGGTCAAATGGGTGAGTGAGTGTAAGTGTGAACCACCAGGTGGTATTCGTATTATTAGTTGACAGGGTGTATCAGGGAGATAAGATGTTTTCTGATGGTAGTTTTGAAGGTGATGAATGTGTCTGCAGTTTTGGAATTTTCAGGTAGGGTGTTCCAAATTTTAGGGCCTTTGACATACATTGAATTTTTGTAAAGGTTTAGTTGGACACTGGGAATGTCATAGAGATGTTTGTGTCTGGTGTTGTGCCTGTGAGTTCTGTCACAACTATCAAGAAAGCGTTTTAGGTCAAGGTTAATATTGGAATTTAAGGTCCTGTAGATGTAGATTGCACAGTAGTAAGTGTGGATGTACTGAACAGGGAGTAAGTTTAGATCTATGAAGAGTGGGGGGGGGGTGTTGCCAGGGATGGGATTTAGTGATTATTCTTACTGCGGCTTTTTGTTGGGTTATTATTGGCTTACTGCGGCTTTTTGTTGGGTTATTATTGGCTTTAGGTGTGTTGCTGCAGTTGAACCCCAAGCACAGATAGCATAGGTGAGGTATGGATATATAAGTGAATGGTATAGTGTGAGAAGGGCAGTTTGCGGCACGTAGTATCGTATCTTGGAGAGGATCCCAACCGTTTTGGATACTTTTTTGGTTATGTGTTGGATATGGGTGCTGAAGTTCAGGTTGTTGTCGAGGTATAGGCCTAGGAATTTGCCCTCAATATGCCTGGTAGAGTGTTGTCGATCTTAATGTTAATTTGCGCATCTCCTGCTCTGCTACCAAACATAATGTAGTAGGTTTTGTCAACGTTAAGCGTAAGTTTATTGGCTGTCATCCAAGTCTATATTTTGATCAGCTCCTCATTAACAATGGTGTTGAGGGTTGCAAGATAAGGGTGAGAGATGACATAAGTCGTGTCGTCAGCAAAGAGAATGGGGTTCAGGTGTCGAGATACGTTTGGAAGATCATTGATGTATATGAGGAAGAGCAGGGGACTAAGGGCACTTCCCTGCGGAACTCCAGTATCAAGTGGCTGTGTTGTTGATGCTGTGTCTTTAATGGTGACATACTGATACCTATTAGTAAGGTAAGATTTGAAATATGCAAGCGCATGGCCTCTTATACCATAATGGTCAAGTTTGTGGAGTAGGATGCCGTGGTCTACTGTGTCAAAAACTTTTCTTAGGTCAATAAAAATTCCTAGTGGATATTCCTTATTTTCCAATGCTGTGTAAAGCAGATCTAGCATTTTTATAATTGCATCGTTAGTGCTTTTATTTTTCCTGAATCCAAATTGGCAGGGGTTGAGTATGTTTTGTGACGTTATAAATGAATATAGTGTCCTGTGCACGTGTTTCTCAAAGATTTTGGATAGCAATGGTAAGTTTGATATTGGCCTATAGTTGTTTAAATCTGTAGGGTCACCACCTTTATGTATTGGTGTAACCCTTGCCGTCTTGAGTAGTTTCGGGAAGGTGCTAGCTTCTAGTGACTTGTTAAAAAGCAATGAGATAGTATGCGAGAGGACATGGGCCACTCTCTTGTACAATAATGGTGGGACATGAGACAGATTCGGTCGCAAGATTATCTTCAGTTTTCACGCGGTATCTACATGTTGATACCTTATCTGAAATTATAAATAGTGCTGCCAGCCGTGGGTCTGTATTAATGGAGTGTGTTACCAGTGGGTCAGGACTGGAGTTACCTGGCAGCAGAGTTTCAGGTCCGTTACTATGAGAGTTTCATAAATTCAAATTTAGAAAGGACAGGAAAGCCTTGTTTTGGAGATGGTATACAGTACTAACAAATTGATAAGATTTCTCTCTTACTCATTAGGTAAGGACTGTGGGGACTGATCACCTCCAAACTGCTTCTTCCCTTCTAAATAAAAAAAAAGGCACAATATCGTGACTGGAACGATACACATTATTATTATTATAATCAAGGGGAAGCGCTAAACCCGGAGGATTATACAGCGCCTGGGGGGGGGGGGGATGTGGAAGGCATTCAGGCTTAATTCGGGGAACTGGAGCACAGATCCAATTCCCTAAATCAAGAGCCCCTCACCAACATCAAGGAACCTTCCTTGAGGGGGGAACGATACACAAATAACCCTTCTTTTGCTTGTTCAGCGTTACGATCACCTGTATTCGACTCGTGTCAGTTGTGTAAGCGAAAGTTTTGAAAATAAAGTTGCCAAACTGTTGTACACGGGTCTTACTCACGATACATCTTTGCAAACACAGGAAAGTTATGTATTACATTAATGGTAGCTGTAAAATACCGACAAGCTGATAAGACATGCATATACAACCCATGTTACATATGTTATTTATCAAGCCTGACCCAGGGCCCGGCTACGGGAGTAGGAAAACTCGGAATCCGTCAGATATATCAAAGCTATATAGGTTCAGAGCTATCCTTCATAGGCTCATTTACAAAGCTCAACTCTAAGGTATACCACCACTTCTTAGGATGTCACCTACACTAGTCTACTGTCCCCTTAGTACCTACTTATTACTAGTTAAACAAGGGTAGCAGGTGTATAGAAACTGGCACGTCTCATCCAGCCCAAGAATCTAACCCGAATTCTTTTGGTTGTTTGTCGAAATGCTCTACCATTGAGCTGCAAGGCACCTTGATGAAGATGCTCATAGATAATTGAAGCAAATACTTTGGTTAGAAGGATGAGTTGTATAAGTAACATGAGTTGGGAATGATTGGCTGCGACTATGACCTGTCTAGTATGATGCATAATAAAATTGGTACAGGTAAAATGGCACGAGTGTGAAATAGGATAAAATAATTATGATAACTGTTCTGCATGTGGTTATATACCACAATCAATAGATACTGGTTGGGTGCCATATTTTCCTTTGACTTGTGCCATTTTAATCTAAAATCTGCTATGGTCTGATAGGTATACAGATCAGTGGTTCTGGGGATAATCTTCCCTATAGCCTGGTCTCTGAGCAACTTCTTGGGTTGGAAAGGAAATACTACAGTATTAAAAACTATTAAGAAGCATATAAAGTGTAGATGTGAGTAAGTGTTCCTCTCTCTCTCCACAGCTGTTCTGTGGACACCAAATATATCGATATTATTTCTGGTGGGGTAATAATAGTTCTTCATAAGAAAGCCTTAGCTTTATCGGGTAATAGGTACAGGCAGTGTGTTGTATGCTCGGCTTGACGAAAGTGAGAGAAGCAGACCATACCCCGGACGGGATTGAACCCGCGGTCGTAGTCTCAAAACTCCAGCCCGTCGCATTAGCCACTAGACCAGCTAGCCACAATAAGATTCGTCCAACTAGGTATATTTCTACACCATAGGAAGGTTAGCACAGGCACCACTGTGACCACAAATGCAAGTTTTTACAGACGAATCTCCAGCTAGTGTGGCCGTGACGAACTCTAGTTCAAGTCCCTTCACTGCCGTCAACATGACTCACGAAATCATAATGACACGATTGCAAACAAACTATACCCCGGCCGGGATTGAACCTGCGGTTTGCAATCGTGTCATTACGATTTCGTGAGTCATGTTGACGGCAGTGAAGGACTTTAGTTCAAGTCCCTTCACTGCCGTCAACATGACTCACGAAATCGTAATGACACGATTGCAAACCGCAGGTTCAATCCCGGCCGGGGTATGGTTTGCTTGCAATCGTGTCATTATGATTTCGTGAGTCGTGAGAGAAGCAGGTCTTACTGCTGATAGGTATGGTACTATACTAAGTGGGAGGCAAGTCCACAATGGCTCGCCTCGGAGCAGGACCCCCAGCGAGAGCTATGGGAAACAGGCCTAAGCAGCATGAGAGTGAAATATAAAACTCGACAAAAGTTACATGTGTATATAAAAAAAAGGCACAATACCGTGACTGGAACAATACACAAATAACCCGCACATGGGAGAGGAGCTTACGATGACATTTCAGTCCGACTTGGACTATTTACGAAGTCATAAGCTCCTCTCTTCTATGTGCGGGTTATTTGTGTATTACATGTGTATGACTAAATGTACCGACTACTAATTTTTATATTTTCCCCTCCACTCACGGTGTGGTTCTTCGTTGCAGGGCCTGATGACAACGTTGATGATGCCGAGCGATTACGGAGTGGAGATGTTCCTCGGGTCGTCCCCTGTGCTTACCTCGGGTTACCTATCTACCCAGCCCTTTATCCATGACTTTCCCAGGCTGACTCCCCTCCAGGCAGCTCCCTTGCAGTCCACACCTGTCCAGTCCAACCCATTTCAAGCCACGCCCTTGCATAACCTTTGGGGAAACAACAGCCAGTCATGTGGCTCCACCCTCAATAATACTGGTTACATGAGTAATTTTGATAACGAGCTGTTCTCAACCACATACAGTAGCAGTAACAACACCACCAACAAGAATGGTTTCAACGCTAGAAGCAGTTTTAGGTGAGTTACTCTAGTCGCTTTGCAAAAATGGAAAAAAAAAAATCTGCCAGGAAAGTTGTTGGCAAGTGAGCAGATACGACAAAAATGCAAAGTTTTCTAACGTTGCAGTTTTGTCTTGTTTATACAACTCTCCCTTTTCATTAAGCATAAAACAAATTAAATAACAAATGAAAAGTAATTAGGAATAATTAAATATAGGTTTTGGAGTTCTGTCTCTCCTAAATTATTAGCTCAACAAGGTAAAAGTTTAAATATCTAGACTAGAATACACTGAAAAAGTAGCGACACTGGACCTTGAAGGTCTTATAGCTGATAAACCTCTAATGGTATTCTTGATGGCATCTTCATTGTCCTATTGAAATCTCCCAGCTTAGGCTTACAGATTTAAATACTATGAAACCTTTGCTGTTTTAAGGGAATATGATAAGGAAAAACTGCTGTCTCTGTTTTAAGGGAATATGATAAGGAAAAACTGCTGTCTCTGTCCCCACTACCTTTCATGTTTACCTTTGAGTTTCAAGAATCTTCCTGCTCCAGGAGCCCAGCCTTGGTCTAGGCTCGAATGTAACTACATGTATCACATAAATTATGATAAAAGCACATTGCAGATGCATCCTGTTTTATTAAATAAAAGAAAAGCATAGCCAGTAACCTACAGAAGTGTGTTGTGTTATAGATCTAGTAGAGTGCAAATAGGATCTGCCTAACGTAAGTCAATTAGCCTATTGCAGTTTGTTCTTTTTTTTCTTTAGGTCTAGTGAAAGACGGTCGCCCCCCAAAAGGAAAACCAGTTTGCCTTTGCTGCTGCCAATTAAATCCTGTCTAGTGGCTCGCCAGGAGGAGGAACAAGAGGTAAATACAAACATGTTTTGTTTATCAGTAATGTATTATTCATTAAACTCAAACTTGTAAAACTCTTTATATCAAAGAACACGATAAAATTTTGTTCTTTCTTTTTAAAGGAGGGTGCTATCTCCCCAACGAGATTAAAGAAAAAGGTTGTGTTTGCCGACACTCAAGGTCATCCACTAGAAGAGATCCGCGTCCTCACTGAACGTCCAGACTGTCCACCAAAATGGTCAGCGGACTTCGTTGAGCAGGTAAGACTGGGAGGAGTGCTTAATAATTTGGAAAATTAACATCATAATACAGGAGGGCCCCACTTATACAGTGGGTTAGGTTCCAGGCTACTGCTGTAAAGTGAAATATAGCTTATTTTCAATTTCAAATGCATATAAAACCCTGATAACATGTTTACACTATCATATATTAAGTGAGCAGTAGAGCTAGGCCTAAAAAATTACATGTATAGTACACACATTGTCTACCTTAAAATATTTTAATACATAACTTATAGTGAGTGGTGAATATATTTATTGTAGGTAGTCTGAATAAATGAAGAATGGGTATAATTGAACCACTGTATTAGTGAAATGCTGTAAGATAGTGCTGTAAAGTGAGGCCCAACTGTAGCAACACAGGATGCAGCAGTTTTTGTCATCGCACTTGCATATTGATAAAACTGAATTCCCTTTAATTTAATTTCCATGCTTTTGATCTGAGGTACCAGGATAATAAGCTATACATGTATTGCTAACTTTATATGCACTTAGTGCAAATACACTATCTTGAAAGTTAATTTCAATCTATTTTTGGAATTAAAGGATATATCGACAGTTTCTAATATGGGTCTTAGCACTTTCGTATGATTATTAATGCCTATCTAGTAGGTGATCTTGGTAAACAGTGTAGTGTTCTGCAGGTGACTGGAGGTGCCAAGGCCGAAGCTGTATGTGACCAGTGGGAGCTAGCGTTTGCTCAGCCAGCTTCAGACTATCTGGGAATGAAGGCACGATTAGAAAAAGACAATGTGACCTTGGAAAACGTCGTAATCAAGGAAATGGAAAACAGAGTACAAGGAACAGTGAAGGTAAGCTAATTATCATTTCATTGTAACACTGATGTTGCAATACTTGCTCAGTTGTATTTCATGACACAAAAATATAAGTGCACTTCAGTGTGCACATACCTGGATATGGTATCTCCAACTGTGCATTAAATGTAAATTTTTAAGGTGAAAATAAAAACATATCTAGGCTTCACATCGAGACTTGCTAAACAGGTCTCGCCTCAGTGTTAGACCAAAATATTTGGTTTATGCCTGTTTTATTGTCTGTATGCAAGTTTGTGCCAGAGAATCTCAGGTTGATGTACTATTTATGGCTTGCCATTTTGTGTATTTCTAGGTGCGAAACCTGTCCTTCCATAAGAGTGTCATTGTGAGATACACGATAAACAATTGGATTTCACATGATGAAATAGAAGCGGAGTTTGTGCCCTCGCTCTCAGCCACTGTTGCTTCCTACAACCTCTACGATACCTTCACATTCAGCTTGCCCTTGCCTGGTTCTACTCAAGCAGACAAGGTAGAATTCTGCATCTGCTTCAAGAGTGAGCAAGGAGAGTTCTGGGACAACAACAATAGCAAGAACTATGTGATAGTATCGTTCAGACCCAAGACCACGCCACCGGAGTACAAACCCAAAGATATTTACGATGTGACATTAGATTCCTGGACTGAGTTTGCTTCTTGGAATCATCTAGACATCAATGATTCACCATATTGGTGAACCAGTAAATGAGGGTTCGAGATGAAACAATATTCGAACCCCCATACCTACGTTACCTAGATAACAGTGGTCTGGTGGTGCTACTTATGTTAATAATGTTTTGTCGATTTGTGCATAAGCAATGTTTCTTACGGTTCATTAAAGCAGTGATGAAGACCATCCGTGTTTATGCATTTATCGTTACACTACATGATGGGAGTGGCTCGGAATTAGCGGCTAGAAAGAATGAATGGACGTGAATTCGTAAATTAAATAGAATGGTAGAGCACTAAGTGAGTGGTATGGTGGTACCACTGTTCATAGTCATCACTGGAGCCACAGGGCTGGCCCACCACCCAGTGCAACATAGGGCCAGCTCACCACCCAGTGCCACATAGGGCAGACCCCCATCATCCAGATAGCTAGCAATCTTCTGGCGTGAAGAAAGAATGGGTGCTACTTTGGTGGTGACCAGGTTCACCCTCCCTCAAAATCCACTTCATCAGCGCCATCCAGTCACAATTCCGCCCACTGGGAGCACCAGCATTGAAGTGGGCATGCATCATGGGTTACTGAGAGTTTCCTCGGACCCCCAGGGACAAACCATCAACAAACAAGACTGGGGAAGATCTTGTCATGCGGGACAGGAGTGATGTAGTAGGTGAGTGGAATTAGTCTTTAATAATATTTTGTAATTAAAATTATTGTGTTCACCTGTTTATGGTTGCAGATGTAGTATTGTGTGTGTGGGGGGGGAGGGGTTAAGAAGAGTGAATTTAAGCATGTGTGCAGACATTTGGTTTCAACCACATAAAACCCAAAGGCTCATTTTGTTTCATAGTTGTGTGGTGCTGAGCTCTTTCAGCCTAAGTACATCTTGTGTGCCACTGTAGTTGTTTGCTGGTGAATGCTGCAGGTGGAAAAAGAATGTCTTCAGAAATGTGGTTAACAGTTGTATTTTTAAAGCTCTGTCGACGTTGGCAAAGGATGATGCTTTTTGCGTGGCGCTTGCGTGTATATCTGCCCGTGACTCGCACTTTCTGGCCATACAGAGGCTTCTCTGACATACACCTGTGTTTGGTTGAATAGACTTATTCCTTGGGTGGTCTTGGTCTGTTTTTTATATATTGGCTTCACATAATCATAAGACTCTGTCCCCTGCTGGGCAGAAAAAGGGCACTTAATGGTTTAAAATTACTGACAAGTATGAAATAACACAAGTGTCCTGTTAGCATATTTTATTTGTGAAAAAATTCACCACAAATGGCATTTTCATTCCTAAAGAAGACATTAAATAAACCATTCATGGTGAAACATAGGACACCTAAATCATTCCATTCATGTACTCTTATAACCTATTTTTGTAAAAGTCAGAGGACTAAAGCTCAACTGTTCTCCTTACGGGTAAGCCAGTACCTCAAGCCCTTGGCTTGAGGCACTAGCTTAACAATTTTAAGTACATGTTCATAACATACTTCTGGAGTCCTAGTTATTAGTCCAATTTCTCTCCTCCATATCATTTATTTCATCATTTTCCCTAGCTTGTATGCCCTTACCTGGCTTTGATTTCTCTCTGTTTTTGACGAGGTTTAGCTGCCGAATTGGTGACGGAATCTCTGGTGGTGATTTGCGCTTGTTCATCTAATTAAAACTGCATGTTGTTTTCTAACAGCTTGTTTTTCATTTCACTTACTGAAAACCCCATACCTGAAAAAACTATTTCTTAATGCTATTGCAGCACCACCTGGGCCAGCTGCCATCTGTTGGAGATATTCTCTACTAAGATTCTGTGGTGTTGGTGTGTCAGAGAAGAATCAATAGCTCAAAGGTATAATAGCAGAAAGTTGAAGACAGAGATGTGCAACACTTGGGATCTTTGTGAGAAATACTAGAACATTTTGTTGCAAAAGTTTTGGTCCTGGGACCTTGGTCCCTCGAAATATACAAACGATTAGGAAACTGCTCTTGTTGTGTTGCACACATACAGGAGGGCCCTGTTTGTATGGCTCTTAGGCTCCTGACCCCATGTGTTAAGCAGATATTGCCAGTGGGTGGAAAAGAGCATTTTTTATCATTGAATGCATCTAAAATGCCTGATAACATGTTTATCATATATTAAGTGCTCAATACAGCTAGACATAAAAAGTTGTGAAATAAATACATAGTACATACAATACTTGCCTTAAAATACGGTGCTGGGCATCCTTCCCTTGCACAATCCTTGTGCAAAAGCAGTAAAAGCACTGATTATAATGAACAGTGGCTCAGTTGAAAGTCAACAAAAATATGGAACACGGAAAAGAGGGAGCTGAATATGAAGGGCCCTGTATTTGTTTATGCTAGTGAACAAACTTCTCCCAGTTTCTCCTATGTACTTTTTTGCACAGTGATCACATAGACCTTGACAGTGGAAACTTGTTGGTGAATTGTAGGCAGCTTATTAATTTCTTTATGAACGTAAAGTCGCGGTAACTGCCTGGATGTTGTTGCTTGCGTTTATTCCGAAACTTTGAGCCCAGCCTACATGTGAACGTGTCTTCAACTGCTGTATCTCATCCCCTTTTCTTTTCACTGGCTCTAATATGAAAGTCTCTTTCTTTACCCCTCTGTATTAGACTGATATTTCCTATATCATTTCTATATCTGAATGTATCCAACCTTTAACGCATTGTTGCAAGTTCTTTCTTGGTTAGATGTGCCGAGCATCATGTTTATTTCTCTGCTTGATTCTCTCTTCCACATGAATACTTCAATCATTGAGTTGGTCAATAAATGTAGTCGAGGGTACCATTCGAGTAGTATCATTGTAATGCATAGAAAAAAGTAGCTTTACCCTGTACTGTTGGGAAGAGGTGCTTCGGTGTTGATGAAGGGTTTTAAATCTGAGGAATTGAAGCTGCCCCTCTTAGGACCTGATCACCTCTCATTTCCCAGGTGATGTATGGCCCACTGGGGGCTTAATGCTTCCATATAAATGTAATAATATAGGAAGCTTTAATAGGATGGATAGCAGGAGCAGGACCCTGCCTAGCCTAGGCCAGGTGGCCTACTAATCCGAGCTAAGCAGGATCTGGCTCTTCCAATTCGTGTATGTCTGACCTGTTTTTTCAGAGTTTACCCAAGTACAGTTTTCATTGATGCCACCTGTGATGCACCTGTTGGTTTTGTGGGTTTACCCTCTCAGCTATGTGGCAGTTTCTCACTCCACGATTGCCAAAATCAGATTTGTCCCGTATACTTTATAGATCGAAATTTATCCACATGCAAACCACTGTTGCCAGTTCTCTAGTAATTAAATAACATCAGCTTTTAATTGGTGAGTCTCTATTTTTATCACTGTTGTCCATTTGTACATTTCACCAGCAATGTCCCCTCAAGTTTATGAAACCTTTCTCAGCCTAAATTATAGAAAATAGCATTTGAAAATGTGCATCAAGGGTTAGGGGATTGACATTGGGGATTGTTGGGGAGTTGTCATATTGATTTTTTTTTTTTTTTTTTTTTTTTTTTTTTTTGGGGTCGAGTCAGAACTACAGTGTTTATGCTCCATAGATTTGAATCACCACAACTGTGGTTAAAGGTGTTAGTAAATATGAGATAATTCTGTATTATGTTAGGAATGGGCACAAGGCGAGTTCTTGGCAAGTGAGAGGCTCAGGGTTGGTGGTGGACTAGTGACTAGAATAACCTGCTGTCTCTGAGCTGCCTACCTCCCTTCAAAGATGTGGGAGAAGGGGGGATGGGGGTTAGTGCCTTAATTCTGGTGAAGGGCTCTTGATCCAATAAATTGGAGATTCTCTCCTCTTGCATCAGACCTAGGCACTGTACAGCTTGGCTTCCTGTGAATATAATACAGCCTCTCCTCACTTAACGACTGAGTTCCGTTCCTAAGACCACGTCGTTAAACGAATTCGTCGCTAAGTGAGAAGCATACTATAATGGTAGTGAGTTTGTCATCCATCTTTTGTATTTTTAATGTCACCTCTGCACCATTGATAACATTTCTGGTATATTTTTAAATGTTTATACAGTAGTGTACTGTATATTGAAATGAACAGAATAGAGGAAATCGGCTCTAATATGCATTATTTAGGTTTGAATACCGGTCAGAGAGCCTGCCGTAAGTCGGTAAACAAGTGTATACGTTGCTAAGTGAGGAGAGGCTGTATTCATAAGTAAGCATAACAGGTTGTAATGATGGGTTACGTTTATAAATTACAGTTTAAAGTAAAAGATCTTGTACTACCTTAGTTCATTTTTTCTCCACTGAAAATTGGTTAGATAAGATTAATACTGTAAATGTTATTTTGTAGATTTTAATGAAATGTTCACGTTTAACTTGGATGGTATTTGAAAATGTGCTCAGCATTAAGCGTGCAAATCTAAAACCCAGGTACCTACTTAGTGCTAGGTGAACAGGAACAGCAGGTTTGAGAGTTGCCCATGCGTTTTGCCAAAAACTCGACCAGCCATTGACAAGTCTTAGGAATTTGTGAATTTATTGTGCAAGTTAGTGTTGTATATGTTTTGATTTGTGTGGATGTATTAAATTTGGTGTTCCCGTGTGGGTTATGTACTTTATAATTGTCACGATGAGTGATCTCTCTAAAAGTGCTGTTCAGATTTCGTGCTGTATTTCAGTTCTCGCTGCATATTGTCTCGGTGTAGTATCACTTGCACTACTTCTTTGCTGATATGGGAATCTGTTGCGCCATGTCAGTTTTTAATAATAAAATATGATCTGATTTTGATAGCGTTTGGCCTTGGAGGAGCCGAGCGAGTTAGAGGTAAATGAATGATAACTGGTATGAAACTAGATGGGGTTCCTTGCTATGTGTTGCCTACCTGGGGCTCCATACATGGTGTCTTGTGAAGGCTGTACTGGCCACACAAATGTTGTGGTGTAAAGCTTAAACCAACCTCTCAAGGTTGGTGTTCTGAAAGTTATACCCACCACACCAGTGTAGCGATGTGGTTGTACCCACCACCACACCAGTGTAGTGATGTGGTTGAACCCACCACCACACCAGTGTAGCGATGTGGTTGTACCCACCACCACACCAGTGTAGCGATGTGGTTGTACCCACCACCACACCAGTGTAACGATGTGGTTGAACCCACCACCACACCAGTGTAGCGATGTGGTTGTACCCACCACCACACCAGTGTATGCGATGTGGTTGTACCCACCACCACACCAGTGTAGCGATGTGGTTGTACCCACCACCACACCAGTGTAGCGATGTGGTTGTACCCACCACCACACCAGTGTAGCGATGTGGTTGTACCCACCACCACACCAGTGTAGCGATGTGGTTGTACCCACCACCACACCAGTGTAGCGATGTGGTTGTACCCACCACCACACCAGTGTAGCGATGTGGTTGTACCCACCACCACACCAGTGTAGCGATGTGGTTGTACCCACCAGCACACCAGTGTAGCGATGTGGTTGTACCCACCACCACACCAGTGTAGCGATGTGGTTGTACCCACCACCACACCAGTGTAGCGATGTGGTTGTACCCACCACCACACCCAGTGTAGCGATGTGGTTGTACCCACCACCACACCAGTGTAGCGATGTGGTTGTACCCACCACCACACCAGTGTAGCGATTTGGTTGTACCCACCACCACACCAGTGTAGCGATGTGGTTGT